CGGCCCAAGAGGCCCCGAAGACGCCCAAGGAAGCCTCCAAGACGGCCAAGCTTCCAAGATGCCTCCAAGACGCCCAAGATGGCCGTCCAGACGGCTCAGATGGCCCGAAGATGCACCCAAGACGGCCCAAGATGGCCTTAAGATGGCCCTATAGGCCCGCAAGAGGCCTCGAAGACGGCCCAAGAGCCCTCCAAGACGTCCTCCATGAAGGCCCGAAAGGGCCAAAATCATTGATTGTCCTTCGATGTTTGAAAGATGTCGGCTTTTTCTTCTTTTCAGCTCTCCCAAGACGGCCCAAGATGGCCCCGAAGACGCCCAAGATGGCCTCCAAGACGGCCAAGATGGCCTCCAAGATGCCTCCCAGACGGCCAAGAAGGCCTCCAAGATAGCCAAGATGGCCCCAAGATGTACCCAAGACGGCCCCAGATGGCTTGAAGATGGCCTTGACTGCCCCAAAGGCCCGCCAGAGGCCTCCAAGACGGCCAAAGACCCCTCCAAGACGTCCTCCAGGAGGCCCGAAAGCTCGGAAACCACCTGGTCCAATAGCTCGCCCGACTCCATGTTCCCCGAAGGCGTTCGAAACCCACTCGGGGAACGCGTGGCCCGATAGCTTGGCCAAGCTCAAACCCAACTTTCGGCCACGCAGGCGCTTCCAAGAAGGCAGGGGGCGGCGGTGACTCGCCATAGGCGTCTTCGATCCGCCGCCCCCTGTTGATCAGATCCGCCGCCCCCTGTTCGCTTGCCACAGGGGTGCCCGGCGTGATATTGCTCTTGGCGTTGGCTCTTTTTCCAAAAGAACTCTCCCTGGGCGTTCGGCCCGTCCCGCCGGCCACCCGAAACCAAAAAAATCCTGGAAACAAATTCCCAAGATGGCTCAGGATGGCTTTCAAGACCGCCGAGATGGCCCAAGATGGCCTCCAAGATGCCTCCAAGATGGCCAGGATGGCCATCAAAACGGCCCACGAGGATCCAAGATACTTCCAAGTCCGCCCGAAAAGCCTTCAAGCCGGCACAAGAGGTACCCAAGAGGCCTCCAAGACGGCCCAAGAGGCCTCCGAGAGGCCTCTGAGAGGTCCTTCAGGAGGGCCCGGAGAAGCCGAAATCACTGATTGTCCTTAATTGTTTGAAGGATTTTCGTACTTGCTCCTTTTCGGCCTTAGGGCCAGAGCGCCCAAGAGGCCTCCAAGATGGCATCAGGACTGCCCGAGAGGCCCCCAAGACGGCCCAAAGAGGGCCCAAAGACGACCAGAGAGGCCTCCAAGACGCCCAAGAAAGCCTTCAAGACGGCCCCTGAGCACTCCAAGAGGGCCCCAGGGCGGCCCAGAGAGGCCCCCAAGACGGCTTCCGACGGCGTCAGATGGGCCAGAGGTCCACCAAGACGGCCCAAGATGGCTTCAAGATGGCCCAAGACGGCCCCAGAGGCCTCCAAGGGGGCCTCCAGGAAGGCCTGAAGAGGCTGGCATTTGCTTCTTTTCGGCCTTCCGACGGCCCGAGACAGCCCAAGAGCCCCCAAAGATCGCCCCAAGATCGCCCAAGAGGCCTCCAAGATGGCCCCAGAACGGCCCAAGAGGCCCCCAAGATGGCCCCAAGAGGGGGGCCCAAAGACGACCAAAAAGGCGTCCAAGACGCCCAAGAAAGCCTTCAAGACCGCCCTGGAGCATTCCAAGTGGGCCCCGAATCGGCCCAGAGAGGCCCCCAAAACGGCTTCCGACGGCGTCAGACGGGCCAGTAGCCCACCAAGCCGGCCCAAGATGGCTCTAAGATGGCCCAAGACGACCCAAGGGGCGTCCAAGAGGGCCTCCAGGAAGGCCTCCAGGAAGGCCTTAGGTATGTTGGCATTTGCTTCTTTTCAGCCTACCGACGGCCCGAGACGGCCCAGGAGCCCCCAAAGACCGCCCCAAGAGCGCCCAAGAGGCCTCCAGGATGGTGGAAGGACTGCCCAAGAGGCCCCAAAGACGGCCCCAAAAGGGCCCCAAGACGGCACAAGAGGCCTCCAAGACGCCCAAGATGATCTCCAAAACGGCCCTGGAGCAGCCCAAAAGGGCCCCAAGTCGGCCCAGAGAGGCCCGCGAGACGGCTTCCTTCCGACGGCGTCACACGAGCCAGGAGCCCACCAAGACGGCCAAAGAGACCCCGGATAAGCCCCCAAAGGCCCCCAAGAGGCCCGAGGAGGCTCCCAAGATGCCTCCAAGAGGCTCCCAGGAAACTCCCAGGAGGCCCCAAGAGTGTCCCAAGAGGCTCCCAAGATGCCCCCTCCTCCGCCTCCTCCTCCTCCTCCACCTCCTCCTCCTCCAGCTCCTCCTCCTGCTCCTGACCGTCCCCGCCATCCTCCCCCAAGTTTTCCCCGAAGGGTTTCCACAACGGCTTGGGGAACACATGGTCCGATAGCTTGGCAGAGCTCTTGCCACAACGCTCGGCCACATGGGCGATTCTGAAGGCAGGGGTCGGCGGTGTTTCGCCGTTGGCGTCTTCGATAGATCCGCCGCCCCCTTACAATTCATCACAGGGATGCCTGGCGTACAAGATGCTACCGCTTGTGCGTTGGTTCTTTTTCCAAACGAACTCATCCTGCCGCTTCGGCCTGTCCCGCCGGCCACCCGGAAAAAAACGCAAACGACCACAAACGATCTCAACGTCCGCAACAAAAATCGCCAAGACGGCTCAAGATGGCTTCCAAGACAGTCCAGACTGCCCCAGATGGCCTCCAAGATCGCCAAAAGATAGTCCAAGATGGCCTTCAAGACTGCCCAATTGGGTCCAAGCTGTCTCCAAGTCCGCGAAGAAGCCTCCAGGACAACCCAAGACGGCCTGAAGATGGCCCAAGACGACCCAAGAGGCCCCCAAGAGGCCTCCAAGAGGTCCTCCAGGAAGGCCCGGAGAGGCCGAAATCATTGTCCTCAGGTCAGTGGAAGATTTTGTCATTTGCTTCTTTTCGGCCTTCCGACGGCCCGAGACGGCCCAGGAGCCCCCAAAGACCGCCCCAAGATCGCCCAAGAGGCCTCCAAGATGACCTCAGCGCGGCCCAAGAGGCCCCCAAGACTACCCCAAGAGGGCCCGAAGACGGCATAAGAGGCCTCCAAGACGCCCAAGATGGCCTCCAAAACGGCCCTGGAGCAGCCCAAGAGGGCCCCAAGTCGGCCCAGAGAGGCCTCTAAAATGGCTTCCGACGGCGTCAGACGGGCCAGGAGGCCACCAAGACGGCCTAAAATTGCTCGAAGATCGCCCAAAAGGCCCCCAAGAGGCCTCCAAGACTGCCCAAGAAGCCCCAAAAACGGCCCCCAGGAAGGCCCGAAGAGGCCAAAGTCACTGGTGTTCCGTAGGTGTTTGAAGGAGTTGGACATTTGCTTCGGACGGCCCTCCGACTCCTCCGACTCCTCCGGCTCCTCCGACTCCTCCGACGCCTCCGACTCATCCGACTCCTCTGTCTCGTCCTCCTCCGCCTCCTCCGCCTCCTCCTCCGCCTCCGCCTCCGCCTCCGCCTCCGCCTCCGCCTCCGCCTCCGCCTCCGCCTCCGCCTCCTCCTCCTCCTCCTCCTCCTCCTCCTCCTCCTGCTTCTCCTCCTCCGCCTCCGCCTCCTCCGCCTCCTCCTCCTCATCCTCCGCCTCCTCCTCATTCTCCTCCTCCCCCTCCCTCCTCCCCCTCCGCCTCCTCCGCCCCTCCTCCGCCTCCTCCGCCTCCTCCTCCGCCTCCTCCGCCTCCTCCGCCTCCTCCGCTCCTCCGCCTCCGCCTCCGCCTCCGCCTCCTCCTCCTCCTCCTCCTCCTCCTCCTCCTGCTCCTCCTTTTCATGATCTTCCCCCCCATCCTCCTCCAAGTGTTCCCCGAAGGGTTTCAACAACGGCTGGGGGAACACTTGCTCTTGCCCCTACGCTCGGCCACATGGGCGGTTCTAGAAGGCAGGGGGCGGCGGTGATTCGCCGTAGGCGTATTCGATCCGCCGCCCCCGTAGCCTGTAGAGGGGCGCTGGCGTGCCAAACCATGGATTCCTTTGTAGCCCTTCTACAAAAAAAAATGCGTCCCGCCCAACCCGCCGACCGCGGTTCCGTCCAAGATGGCCACCAAGGCGGTTACAAGACGCCTCCAAGACGGCGAAGATTGCCCCACATCTCATCCAAGAGAATCCAAGATGGCCTCCAACACGACGACGACTGCCACTAGACGGCTGCAACACGCCCAAGATGGCCCCCGAAGCCCCCGAGATCGCCCGCCGCGGCCCAAAAAAACCTAACGGGCCCCAAAACGGCTCCAAGATGACCAAGCTAGCCTCCAAGACGGCCCAAGACGGGCTGAAAGCGGCCAAGATGGCCAGCATACCCTCTAAGACGGTCCAAGATACCCTCCAAGACTGCCAAGGTGGCCCAACTCCGCCTCAAGTTGGCTCAAGATTGCCCCCATGCGGCCCGAAGAGGTCTTCGCCTCTTCCTCCTCCTTCTCCTCCTCCTCCTCCTCCTCTTCCTCCTCCTCCCCCTCTTCCTTCCCCGAGTGTTCCTCAAAACGTTTCCGCAATAGTTGGGAGGACGCCTGCCCCATCATCTTGACAAAGCTCTGGCCCAGCGTTTGGCCACAAAGGCGTTTCCAGAAACGCATGGGGGTGGCGGTGAAACGCCGCAGGCGTCTTCGATAACGCCCAAAACCTCGATCCTCGAACCTCCGACCTCGTCTTGTGTGTAAAGGCCGCGACTTTTAGCCTGGCGAGGCCTGTCCAAGGGGAAATCGGCTTGACCGCCCCGAAACCAGCCCACAGAAGCCCTGCCCAACGTCTGGGCGCACCACAGGGTGCCCCGCTCAGCATGATGTCCTTCTAAAGCAGTTTCTGCCTTCGAATGCTGCGCCCAGCCCACCATTGAGACAATCGCCCCAAGAGCGGCCAACGCTGCGACGCTCCACGAAAGTCCTGGAGGTTCCCTGGAGGAACCTCGCCACGAAGACTTCGTGGCAAGACTCCTCCAAGAACCCTCTCCTTCAGGGACCTTCGTGGCGAGCTTACGTTGGAGGCTCCCCAGGCCGCCTCGGCTGCCGGAGCGGCCTCAGCCACGGGTGCCTCGGGGTCGCTGTCCGCATCCATCTCCTCCTCGGCCACCTTCTCATCGGCATCGACCTCCTGCAGAAGAGCAATCCGGCCATGCCCCTGGGTAGAGTAGAGCAAGAGAGAACGGTGTAAGCATAAACCATCGGAGCTCTGCGCGGATTGGATCGGCGCCGGGCCCCCTTGGCGGCGCCTCCGGCGCCGCCCCTGGCGCGCTTTGCGTGCCAGGGAGGGAGGTCCAGTGCAGACACAATACATCCGCGCGGACCTTAGAAAGCTCATGCGTATGCCGTTTTCGCTTCTTCGACTTGGGTCACCAGGCGTGCGATATCATTAGTTCTTGCCCGCAGAAGCTCGCCTCAGGATACCAAATGGGCAGCTAGCTCTTGAATCTGGCAGGAGGCAAGATGGGCGCAAGGGAGGGAAGGAAAGAGAGCGAGATTCGTTTAAGCAGCATGCGCCTGCTGTGTAGGCCAGACCGCAAAGGCTGGCCGCTGGAGGAGCTTAAGCTGCACAACAGAACCACTACTGCCATTCCAGGAAGTCCTTTGCAAACCACCAACCAAGACATCACCGCAGCAAAAAAACGAGCCAAAGTCACACGATGGCGGCAACACCAATTTGGAGACACAGTGTCGCAGATCGCCGCCCATCAAAGTCAAGGCGTGGACACACAAAACGAGCAGGCCAAACCGCCCATCGAGCAACCACATGCTGGAATGAGATCAGGATCGGCGCAAAGCGAGCGGCAACAGGACCTCATCGCTCGACTGACAGACACCATCACCAGCATACACAACAAACGCGACACTCGTATTTTCAAGATCCACGTCAACAAAATGATCTCGGACTACTGTGACAGCATGAACGACCTAGGTACCAACTACGACATGGATCGAACACCGACCAAGACATGAAGCTCGAGCACGACATCATGATGAACTACGTCTAGGCATCGCTCAATACGTCCTCAGGCACGAGGGACTACGGGAAGCGCGTCTCTTCAGGATAACCCAAAATCAGATCATCCTCGTCCGTTTCGTCGACCGCCAGCTCGCTACGATGCTCACCTACCCGATCGGCGACGATTGTTACGACATCCCGAGGCCAGCAGCCGTGAATTACCAGCGCCGCAACCTGCTCATGTACGTTGAGTAGGGCATCGGTTACAATCCTACATCTGAGCCTGCACCATTCGCGACCACCCGGTTCCAGAGGGATACGGCAACCGCAGCCATCAAGAAGATGAACGAACTGATCAACGCCCAGGGAGACCGCCAACCAGGCGATGCTGCACAGCAGGCACCCCGCACGGAGGACGGAAATCGAGGACATGGCGCACCAGCTCCAACAGACACCACCACCGACAGCGAGCTGCCCAACACAAGCATGAATTGAGACCCAGCGGCAGAGCCACGGCATCAAGGCTCCGCCAACATCGCACCTACCGCGCACACTACGGGTGCACGAGAAGCTCCGCTTCGACAGCACCATCTCCAGGCTCGACCGCCTGGAAGCCCTCGGCCACTACTCGCAACGGCACATCATCTCCGACACCCACCCATGGCTGGCGGAGGCCGTCCCCGACCACGAGCAGAAGCCAGCACCAATCCGCATGATTATCACCGACTCCAACACAACAACGAACGACGCTGACTTCAACCCTGCTGGCCCCACCACAGGGACAGCAGGACAAACCTCGCGGTTAGATGGAGAAGGGCACAACAACCCCATGGATCTATTGGAGAGGAAGGTCCATTATGATCGAAGCAGACACAGCGTGGCAACCTTGGCCACCATATGACATAGCCTACCAGCTCGAGTACAACAGCCCAGCGAATCAGCAACCTCCCCCCTGATTGCTCACAACCGTCGAGGCACAAGCATCGGGATTGGACCGGCCGAACGGCGGCCCATCAGTGCGTCATCATCCCTCAATGTTTCAATTTTGACCAATTTTGCTCCCACGACTGACAGCATATCGGACTGCAACCAGCTGCTCCATTCCAGCTCCACGCCTCTGCACTACACTCATACCAAATGTTCCACACTCACTGGGATCACCAGCAGCAGAACAGCTGGCCGCAGGAGTCGCACATCCTCCTCATTCACCGACAGCTGAGAGACGGCAGCACACGGCGCACAGGTCCAACCACGCGGCACAGCATACGGCGAGAACACTAACGACAGCTATGCAATACTGTGGATCCCCGAGGGGCGTTCCCACCCACATATGCTATATTGGCCGACGTATTTCGTCGTGGGTCCCTACGGGGCCCACAGAAATACCGCGTAACATGAGGGCCTCTACCAACCTTCACTCTCTCCGGGCTCACCTTCTCGTTGCCCCGTCTTCCCCCGCCTCTCCACCCTAACCTCATACCATCCCCCCTCTTGTGGTGGCGGGACGGAGACGGATTGTCTCAGGCGGGGACTGGGGAAGGACTCACCGCTGACCGTCCTGGCAAGGGCCAGGGCGGCCGCGGCCGCAGCACAGCCAGCCACAAGCCACCTCACCTCTTTACGCCAGCCATGGCAACGCAACATGTTCCTCCTATTTGCCTCGTGTGCGCCACGAGGGTGCAACAGTCCATCTGGGTTGGTACTAAACCCGAAAAGAAACTACAAAAATCAACTGAGGGACCTCGACAGTTTTCCGCGGCCTCCTCGTGCACAACACTGTTTGGGCCTTCGCGGAGGTTAGGGGTGAACCGACAAAACCACAGGGCACCGAGAGGCACAACTCGCCTCGCTCGAAGCGGAGTCGGTCTCACCGGCGTTTCACTCTAGCCCTCACCGCCACTTTGCGACACTGTGCAGTGGCTCTCACAGCCCACCTCATTGCTGCCCGCACCGTTCACTTCCCTATAGGCCCTATAATGGGAATTTGCCGCAGCCAACAGCTGCGACCACCGGTCACCTGCCTGTCACCAACAGCGGGGGATGGGCGTTGGGTATTGATCTAGGAGGGGGACGGACACCACACTGACCAGCACTGCGCCACCGCGGAAGGCATAAACCTCCCCCACGCACGGTGGAAACCCCCCGGGCGGCCACCACCCCCGCGGTCTTCGTACCCTACTCCTGCTTGTCAGGGGAGGGTACCAGTCGCGGGGATGGTGGACGCCTCGGGGTGCTTCCTGTGTGCAGGGGGAGAGGCCCTTATGCCGTCCACCTGGGCGAGTGGCTGGCCAACCCCGCCGCCGCCACGAAGGCTCAGACCTCCCTCAAGCTCGGTGGAACCCCCTCAGGCGGCCTCGAGGTCAATGTTCTGGGAACCCTTCCCCTGCTTGCAGGTGAGGGATCCCGTCTTTGACCTCGGGGACGACTGTGGGGGTCCTATGAGCTGAGGGTGAGGCACTTGAGCCCTCCACTTTGGCGAGAGTGGACGTGGGCCGCCACAACCAAGACGAACACCGCAGCGCACCCCACCGCCACGCTGCCACCACCACTCCCTTCGTTGTCGTGCTTCCCCCTCTCCCTCTCTCCCGGGCTCTGTTCCTTTGCAGGCCCTTGTAGGCACCCGCCAGAGAGTTGGCTAGGCTGGAGGCTACCAACCAGCACCGCCACACTGCACCGCCACAGCCTCTGCCGCCACTTGTACCGCCAGTCTCTGCCGCCAGCATTCCCCCTTCTCCTCCGTCCTCGTCCTGATATGGTTCCATCTCTCCTCCTCCCTCCTTCGTCTCTATCGCCTGTCACTGTCTACCCTCACAAATACCCTAGCCAGCGATTAAACTCGCCAGGCTACTAGTTTGATCAACCCCCCGGGGCCGACAGGCCCTGGGGGGGGCTACGAACGACGATCCTTGCAGCCATCGCCTGTCACTGTCTACCCTTCCGAATACGCTAGCCAGCGATTAAACTCGCCAGGCTACTAGTTTGATCAACCCCCCAGGGCCGACCAGCCCTGGGACGGGCTACGAACGACGCTCCTTCCAGCCATCAAGAATCTGGAATCAGGGAGCAGGCAAAGGACGAGGACGAGGATGAGGTCGCGAAGGCGCCGAGGAGGGCCACGAGGGCGAGAGGGGCCAGCAGGAAGAGAACGAGGAGGGAAGGTGGCGAGGCGGGGGGGAGCGTCATCACGCAACACGGCCGGCAGGCCGACGCCTCGCGTCTGATGCCGCCGACGTGCACTCGGTCGCTGAGCGGGCAGTAGAGCAAGGGAAACGCACCACTACCACCACCAACTGGAAGATGAAACAGAGGGTGGTCAGGGATGGTGGTGGTGGTGGTGGTGGTGGTGGTGGTGGTGGTGGTGGTGGTGGTGGTGGTGGTGGTGGTGGAAGTGGTGGTTGTGGTGGTGGTGGTGGTGGTGGTGGTGGTGGTGGTGGTGGTGGTGGTGGTGGTGGGTGGTGGTGGTGGTGGTGGTGGTGGTGGTGGTGGTGGTGGAAGTGGTGGTGGTGGTGGTGGTGGTGGTGGTGGTGGTGGTGGTGGTGGTGGTGGAAGTGGTGGTGGAAGTGGTGGTGGTGGAAGTGGTGGTGTTGGTGGTGGTGGTGGTGGTTGTGGTGGTGGTGGTGGTGGTGGAAGTGGTGGTGGTGGTGGTGGTGGTGGTGGTGGTGGTGGTGGTGGTAGTGGTGGTGGTGGTGGTGGTGGTGATATGGTGGTGGTGGTGGTGGTGGTGGTGTATGCCGCTTCGGGCGCTCTCACGGGACATCGTGCACACCTGCAACCTTCATATAATCCTGCACCCTCCCCCCAGGTGGCGGTGGTGCGCTTCTGTTCCCAACACGGGCGGTGGACTCGTCCGGCCGTGACCCCCGCGAAGCGGTGCGCATCTCTTCCTCGGCGGCCTCCCGGTCGCTCGTCACCTCCTCCTGCAGGAGCGCCTCTCGAGGCGACCGCGACCGCAGGCATAGTGAAGCTCGCCCAACGCCCAGGGAGAGGGTGGAGGACGACGTGGAGACACGGGCGGCGCCCACAAGGGGGCGGCGCAAAGGGCGTAGGGGGGGCTTCTGAAACGGCCGCGGGGCTTCTGCGGAGGCAGGGGCCTTCCCGAGAACCCTCCCGGCTTCTGAGAGGCCTTCGGGGAGGCCCCTGGGCCCTTCCAAGGAAGCGGCGGACCTTCTGAGAAGCCCCCCACCTTCGTAGGAGGCCGTCCCGCGCCACTCCCTCGGGGGCGCCGCCGGGAGCAGAAAGGCAAAAAAAGCTGGCGGAGGCGAGCGCGGATATCTCGAGTCCGCGCTGGGCCCCCATCCCCGCACTCGGGCAGTGGGTGTGGGGAGGCGGGGGGTCAACCACCGATCCAAAAAAAGACGCGCGGCCCTTCCAAAAGATACGCTTGTGTAGTCGCTATGCAAAGGGGGGAGAGGAGGGTAGAGAGGAGGCCCAGTCTCAGTGTCCCTGTGGTGGCTTCTCGCTGCCCCAGTCAGGATCAGTCAGCATCGAATATGGAAATCGGGTAGGATCGGACCAGGATCGAATTCGAATCGGGCCTCATCGGCACTGAACCGAAGTCGACTCGAGTCGACTCGCTACGACGCACGGCGCCATGCGAGCATCGGGCTGCATCGCATCGTCGGAAACTCCTGGCACAGACGAGACGGGTCCTGAGGGACACGGAACCTTGCCCCTGTGCCATCTCCCAGACGCATCGCCGACGACCGTGCCAAGTCCAAGCTAGAGAAGCAAAAGGGACAAGATAAGCAACAAGCCCGAATTAAGACCCTGATGGAGACGCCGCCGGCCACGAGATTCGCATCAGCCGTAAAGCAGATCATGAAGGCCACCGAGACCCCGTCTCTGGACTGGGCGGCTGGCCTACCAGACTGGCACCCGGGCGGCGGATTGCGTGCAGAACGTTCCAGGCAAGCGCACGTTCACGAAGTCCGAGTTGAGCACGAGGAAGGGTGATCGGAATCAAGCCCCTCGGAAGCCAAAAAACGGACGAGCCCCAGGTTCCAATGGGACCTGGGGCAAGAAGGACAACCTTGCCACCCCTTCGATCCACGCAGAGAAGGGCAAAGGCAAGGGAAAAGGCAAAGGCAAGGGAAAAGGCAAAGGCAAGACGAAAGGGTACGAGAACGGCAAGGGGACGGATCCCAACCAGCGTGGGACAGACCCCAGAGGCAAGAACGGAGGAGGCAAAGGAGGACATCTTGGAGGAAAGCGCGCCGGAGAGAAAGGCAAGAGCACGAGTTCCAAGTAAATCTTGAATTCATGCGTTTAGTGGACGGCATGCCGATTGGGGATCTGGCTCTATTGTTGGATGATGCGCACCGTGGGAAGGTGTATTTATTCGTTTCAGACAATGCGAGTTGCTGGCACCCGTCATTTAGTGAAATACCATGGCCAGTGGTATTTTTCCTTGCGACGTTTCACATGAAGTTTAGATTCACTCCTAAAGCTCTTCCTCAACTTTCCCAGGTGTCCAAAATGCTGCAGCAGGCGAGGCAAAAACTGTTGTGGTATTGGCATTTCAGGGGCCAGGAGAGGCCCGACAAGTTCAGAGTAAAATCTACGAGGACCTCAGTGGCTCCATTTCCCCACTTGGTTCCACCCGAGTTGGACAGCATGCTCAAGGGCATGCGGCACTATGTATTCCAAGGTTGCGAGCGTGAGCTCCAGAAGCAATATGGAGTCCGCAAGCGGTCAAACATGTATGGAGTAGTTCGTCTCGCCGCTCGTCAACTTCGTGATCTAGAGTGGGTCCCTGTGGTGTCCGACAAGGATGGAGGTTTCGCACTGGTGAGGAAGACTGACCTCATTGAAGCGCACAGGAGCGCCCTGGCGGGCACCAGCTACGAAGAAATTTCTCCGCTCCAACTTCATTGGAAAAACATCACATCTGAGTATTGCGACATCGTCAAGCAAGTTTCGGAAGACGACCCCACGGTGGATGGCCCGTCTCTCTTGCAATCCCTGGAAGGTGGGGAACGGAAGGTCACAGCCACTCTTGGGGAGACTCTGAAGACGCACAAAGCGCCCGGCGAGGTTGCATTCAGGATCCTGCACACTCGCAGGCATCATTCGTTTCGTGGCCTCGGTGCGTGGCTATCGAAAACGATCAGGGACCAATTAAAGCACAAACCGTGCATATTGTCGAGCACAGAACAATTGATCGAGGTTTTGAACAAGACCACGTTCGCTGCGAATGTTGCCTTTCTCAGGTTCGACGTGCGGGACTTCTTCATGTCTGGCGACCCGTCCACACTTGTGTCAGGTGCAACTCGAGTGGCGCCCCCTCATCTGAAGTCTGCTGCTCGGCGCGTGTCCGAGTTCCTCTTAGATCACCAATACATCACAAGCGATTTCTTCCCCGACCAGCTCTGGAAAGTCATCGTTGGATCCGGCATGGGAATGAATTACTCTGGCGATCTATCAGACGCAGGGTTTTACGATAGTCTTGAAAGAGGCCGTGTCGATAGCAGCTCCTGGCTGGCCGAGCACGGCATTCTCTTGTACTGCCGCTACAAGGACGACATCCTCATCATCGCCGAGGGGGTGATGCGGAGCTATTGGCAGTGCTACCAGTGGCTCGTGCAGAATGACACGTGCTTCAGGTGCAAAGTAGAAGGGAATTCGTTCCGTGGGGGTGATGTTCTCGACATCCACATTTTCAAGGGCCCCAGGTTTCAAAAGCATGGCCTTTTGGATTACAAGCCCATCTGGAAACCCACTAGCTTCGGAGTTCCTCTATCGTGTAATTCATCACATCCCATGTCTGTACACGTGGCGTGGCCGCAAGCCGAGCTTGCGAGGCTAGACAGACATTCTTCGAGCACGGCCATCAGCGCCGAGGCCCGCGGGGTGTTCCTCGACAGGCTTTCGCGATTCGGTTTCCCGAGAGCGTACGTCAACCATCTCAGCACGTGGTCGCCCAAACCCGATAGAGAGCGCCGGCCCAATGAGGCCAGGTGCTGGAAAATGTGGGTAAGGTGCCCTTTTGACCCCGTGTGGGCCCGCGTGGGGATTTCAAGATTGTTCCAGGATTTTCTCAGCAATCCCCTGGCACAGGACACATGCAAGAGGTTTTTCGGCAAGGTTCCCGAAATCCGTCCAACATGGGTGGCATCGTCCCCACCGTTTGTCCAAGTTGTGCAGCGTGCTGCAAGTTAATGGAGGTTGGTTGGGTGCGGCGGAGGCTGTATCTATTTATCTGCAATGCCAGTCAGGCGACGACACGAATTCACCAGCGGGTTGTTGAGCTAATTTGCCAAATCCGTCGTAACATTTTTGGCGTCCTGCCCTGGTTTTCGGACTCCCCCCATGCCCGGCAGTAGGCATTTTGGATCAGGGTGGCGCTTACCGCGCCCCAGGCCCAGCAGCTTAGCATAGCGTCTGACAGCTGCTCTCCAGTAGTTCTGGAGAGACCCGAGTCCAGTGGAGAAACATTCACATCTCGTTTGATCTCGTTGAATCAATTCTCAGTACGCTTGTGTAGTCGCTATGCAAAGGGGGGAGAGGAGGGTAGAGAGGAGGCCCAGTCTCAGTGTCCCTGTGGTGGCTTCTCGCTGCCCCAGTCAGGATCAGTCAGCATCGAATATGGAAATCGGGTAGGATCGGACCAGGATCGAATTCGAATCGGGCCTCATCGGCACTGAACCGAAGTCGACTCGAGTCGACTCGCTACGACGCACGGCGCCATGCGAGCATCGGGCTGCATCGCATCGTCGGGAACTCCTGGCACAGGCGAGACGGGTCCTGAGGGACACGGAACCTTGCCCCTGTGCCATCTCCCAGACCAATTAGTCATCCTGAGGCGTTTTCTTAAAGCCCTGGGGCCCGTGGAGGGCCCTGGGAGAGCCCGAAAACTGCGAGCAAAATTCAGGAGCGGTTTCTCTTCAATCGCATCGGAATGTAGACCCTGCCCAGGCCTCCGCCTCGGAGAGGAGGCTGCTCACGGAGGTGTACTCGTCCTCGGTCCGCGCCACGACCTCAGCCTGTGAGGAACAACATCAGGGGGGGATGGACTCAAAGGGGATGTGTCGAGCCACAATCACCCATTGATCGCCGATATGGGCCCGATAGCCCACCCCGCCCAGGAAGGTGTGGATGCGCTATCAGGGGCCCATCGCCGATATATCCGAGATGTATCGCCGCTTCCAGATTGGAGGCGGATGGGAGGCTGGACAGGATGGCCCCGTGAAAATCTGTCTAGAAAGAAAGATACAGACAAATCCGCTCAAAATCATTCCCCGGACCCCTCCAGGGGTCCATCTGGTGGAGTTGTTCATCCCCGATCCGTTTTCGACGGTCCTGGAACCCGAAAACGGCCATGGGATTCCAAGCAAGGCGAATAAAATTCTCGAACCCAGAACCTCGAGCCTCGACCCCAGCCGGCTCCAACTTTTCAGGTCGACGGTTACCCCCCTGAGCCAACTGCCCCCCGAACGTTGCCCGAGCCTGGGACTCGGAGTCAGACGACCCAGCGAACAGCATGTCCTCGGTCCCCTCCTTGTGGAGCGACAGGGAGGAGGCCACAGACGCCAGGGCGAACAGGGTCCGCCGGCCCCCGCCTGTGGGGGGTGAGGAAGCGTCGTGACCCCAGACACCAGACCCTTCTGGGGGGGGGACCGTCAAATAACTACTCAGGATGAAAAACTGGTCCCAGAGAGTGGGTCGAGACCTCGGGAGTCGACGTTGCGAAAAAAACAAGACGGGGAATTGACCCTTCTCAAACTGCGGGGGCCCTAGCTGGACCCCTGGGGCGAGCAAAAAAACAGCGCAAGAGAAAAACAGAATCGTGGGGAAGACATCGTTGTCCTATGATTTCCGGTAACGGTCGTTACCCAGGGGGCAAGGGGGGTTGGGACCCCGGGTAGCGGTAACGCTTGGGCGGGGGGGGGCACGTCGGGGCGGGGTCTGCTGCGATCGTTGGATGCCTACAGCAGACGAAAGAAGAACTGTATCAACATAAACGTCTGGAGCTCCGCGCGGATCTCTTGGCCACGAAAGGCTGCCTCCAGAACTCGACAGCGGCACCTAAGAATAGCGAGGCTGGCCACTCGAGACCCATGCGCTCACCGCCCCTCTTCGTTTGTGGCCCTCTCCCTGGCAATATTACTCTTTCTCCTCATCCTCCACCTTCTCATCCGCTTCGTATTGCATCTCCAACTCCTCCTCATCCTGCTCATCCTCCTCATCCTCCTCAGCCTCGTGCTCCTCCTCCTCCTCCTCCACCTCCACGTCCAACGCCTCCTTCTATCAGCATCATAATCCCATCCTCCTCCTAATCCAATAGCCCTTATAACTGCGACGAGGCGACGATCGAAAGCAGTGCCCCGGCACTGCTTTGAACGCGTTCAAAGCAGTGCCCCGGCACTGCTTTGAACGTATGATATGATGATATGATGATGATTATGATTGATGATGATGATGATTTTTCCAGCGTACACTGTCCGCAACTGCGGCAATCAACATCATGTTCCACTTGCCCGCAACTGCGGCCATCACCAACACTGCCCCTCGAAGCTCCACGGAGGGCGCTCGGCAGGTCGCCCGCTCGAGCCCCACTCGACTTCACGCTGAGGAGGCGAGCCCTCAGGGGCATTGTCCGCAACTGCGGCATGATCAGAGGGCCACCACTGCGCGCCATCAGCGCCCCATTCGCTCGAGCTCCAGTCCCACCAGGACCAGCCCTGCCATCTCGTGGCGGGACTGCGCGCCTCCCATGCGCCGCTGCCGCTGGCGTCCCAGGACCCAGCCGCCACTGCGGCACAAGAAGGGGTCGCATCGTCGCCGTTGGCAGCTTGCGGCGGTGGCGTGTTCCCAGCTCGCTCAGCCCCAGCGTCTCTCCCCGCAACTGCGGTTCCCATCTGGGGTCGGACGCCCTTCCCCGCAACTGCGGTGTCCGCGTAGCTGCCCTTCTTGCCGCCCTTCTTGCCGCCCTTCCTGCCGCCCTTCCTGCGTTCCAACCTCGCGGCGAGTCTTTCAGGTGACCTGCGGCACGTATTGTGCGTGAAAGCCACCAGAGGGAAGTGCGCTCCGTGCCTCGCCCTGCCGAAGGCGCCATGCCATATCTTGTCGTCGAGGTTGCCCTGCTTCACTCTGAAGGGATGGCGCACCCAATCGTCGCGTTCCCTGCGCGCCATCCTTTGCTCGAACTCCGCAACTGCGGTCAAGGATTCGCCAGATGGCGTCAGGAAGGCGCGCATCTTGTTTTCAACGGGCTCAGCCTTGGGCACGTAAGTCTGAAGCATCTTCCCAGGGCCATTCGTGTAGTCGAAGACAGGGAAAGACGGATCATGCTGGGTCGTCAAGAATCCGCCCTCACGGTCGTGCAGAACACTCAGGCCATGGTGAAGCTTGTACTGCCCAGGACAGTTTATGAACAAAATCGCCATGCTGTCTGCCCTGGGCTGGCCGCCTGCTGTCTTCCAGGGGGTCCACGCGGCGACGTCCACAGTCAGGCCGCAATTGCGGCACCAGGACACAAGCTGGAACATGCACATGTTGAAGTCCCCCATGCAGACCTTCACGTCCCATTCCCTGACGTAGGCGACGAACCAGTTGTAGAACTCATGGAGCTTCGTGACGCCCCAGTCTTGGTTGGCCAAGCTGTGGTGGACGTGCACCGCCATGACGTTGAAGGAGCCCCCCAAATGGGTCACGGCCTGGTCCAGGTGGACGCGCACCACCATCGCCCTGGAGTACTTGTTGTGCAGCTTTGGCGCAGGAGCCTCCGCAACTGCGGACTGTTTCTTCTTCTTCTTCGTTTTGGACTTCTCCTGCTTGTGGAAGAGTCTCGCAAAGTCTACGTGTTCAATGTGGCCGCCACTGCGGTCCCTCATGCCAACAAGGAGGGTCCCTGATGGCTCGCCGCCCTTAACGCACAGGTAGTTGTATTGAGTCCGACTCCGAAACCTATCGTCCGCAACTGCGGCTGCACTGTCCCTCGCGTCGTGCTCCCCACTGAGTACCGCGCAGGTCTCGTCGTCGCACTCGCAGAGGGCGATGATCTGGGCAGGGTTCGCGCGGAGCTGCGCCCACTCGTCCGCGCGTTGCGTGGGTCTAGCTGCAGTCCCTCCGAAGTTGGCCACGTAGAAGCCGACCCGTCCCGCTTCGAACTCCGTTTTCTCCTCCCATGCGTCGACAAGAGCTCTTTGTTTTTCCGACAGATTGCTTGTCTCGATGATGGGCACCCGTTTCCAGGGTCTCCGCGACGACAACACTCTCGGCATGTAGGAGTCATGTGCTGCCGCAACTGCGGCTCCCGCACCTCCCTGGGACTCAGCCTCGTCAGCGGAGGCAGCCGAGGACGCGACGGTGCTGTCGCCATCTTGCGTCCGCTGGTCGTCGTCATCATCCGCAACTGCGGCTTCCTCGTCTTTGCCTCCCTCCTCCTCCTCAGCGTTGTGGATGAACACCGTTCTGGCGAATCGAGGTCCACGGTCCATACTCCCTGAGGATGCGCTCGGGCGCGCGGGCGGCCACATGCTTGCGTCTTCGCGTGCGCCACCTCGAGCCACGGTGGCTACGGAAATGGATCGTGAATGGGCATGGGGTCGGATGGAGGGAGGAGACAAAGAGGATTCGAGGAGTGGCAGAAGGAGGGCGAGGACTCAAAGGAACCGAAAGAACAACAAATGGACTGGCGGAGAAGCAGAAGGAGGGCGACGATTGCAAGGGACTGTGAAAGGATTATTTTCACAGCAGCAGGAAGACCGCAACTGCGGTTTTGCCTCATCTCCTGCCCGCGCGGGAGCCGCTTGGAAAAACAACTTCCCTCTGGACTTCCTGTGGGTCCGCAACTGCGGCCTGCATCACGCTAGGGCTGGGATTACCAGCGCCATTTGCCCTCCCAGGGTTCTCACTGTTTCCGAATGCACGAACTGCGACAGCGCCGAACGGTTCCCAGACGCCGCGTCGTTCGCGACTTTTTGCAGCCACCCAGCAAACGTGAGCGGCCATTGCTCCTTGTGCTGCTTGCACATCTCCTCGTCCCAATGCGTCTTGAACCATGCCCACTCCCCCCTCTGCTCGTCTGAGAGGACGCCTTTTCCGCGAGCCAGGCGATCCAGAGCTGCCATCCTGTTTTTCTTGATCTTGAACTCCTCGGGATTCCACTGCGCTAGGGCGTGTTTGTTAGCCAAAGCCGTTTCCACCGCAACTGCGGCCTCCTTCTTTGCCCTCAAGGCGGCCTCGGCCTCTCGAATCTGCTTCTTGAGATCGTGCAACGCCTTCGTCCTGTCGTTCGCTTCCAGAGCCAGGCGCCGCTTTTTCGCCACCACTGCGGCTTCGTGGTCTCGCTGGGCAGTCAACGCTCGTAGGACCTCGTTGTCCTCCCGCGCCAGCTCTCTCAACCGCTTCTTTTGTTTGTGTCGTTGCTGTCGGCAATCCTGCGCTAGTTTCTCCATGCCCACTTGGCGCAGCATATCTTCCGCCTCGCGGAGCGTTTCTGCCAAGGACGTCGCCACTGCCACCTGCTCGGCCGCCTCTGCGTCGACCACGCAGTCCATGGATACCGAGGATCCTTGAGGCCCAGGTGCCGCAACTGCGGCATCGCACTGTTCCGCAAGAGCCTCGGCCCACGAGGCCTCCTCTTGCTCTTCGTCCTCCTCGTGCTCCTCGTGCACCTCCTCCTCCTCCTCCTCCCCGCCCTCCTCATCGCCCTCCTCGTGGCCTGGCTCCTGGCCGAGCGCTTCGTCGCCGAGCTTCTCCAACACGGAATCTGTGGCGTCGTGTTTCTCGTATTCGTGTATGAGACGCAGCACGTCATTGTAGGACCATTTCAAACGTTTCTGCTCGCATTCTTCCCTCACCTCCGCGACTGCGGTGTCCACTTTTGCTCGCAGCCCCCCTGCTTCCCAGAGTTCCGCCGCCTCTCGGCAAATCTCGAGATCTCCTGACTTGTCGAAGGGCGCTCGAATTCCCACTTTCAGGAAACCTTTCGCGGCGTCCAAGTGCAACTGCACATCCTCCAACACTGACAGCATCAAGTCGGCGCAATCGGAACGCCGCAACTGCGGCACGTGCTTCCCCAACGCCATTTGCTGCACCAGCGCTTTGGTCTCGAGGGCAATGTACCGGCGCTTCACGTGCTGGTTCAAGTCCGTGTCCACGGGCTGCGCAACTGCGGTCGTCCCCCCGCCGTGAATGATCAGCACGTAGCCGCGCTGCCAGGCGAGTCTCCGCACAGCGTCTGCTTTGTGCGGGGAATGGTCGTCGGCCATGAGGATGCGCCACTTTCCCCGCAACTGCGGGTCGTCGGGCCAGGCCCGCAAGTGCCGCTGCAAGAATGATACAACGTCGTCTGCGCGGTAGGACCCCTTCTCGGACGTCGCCGTGCTCACCCAAGACGGATAGCCGCGACTGCGGGCATGTGCGGCCAAGCCCTCAGCGATGACAGATCCCCCCTTGAACATTAGCTCCGCCGGCGGTGGTCCGCAACTGCGGATGTCCTCCGCGTCGCTCGACACCGTCAGGTTCGCTGTCCACCGAGCCCTGCTGTCGTCATGCGCCTCGACAAGCGGGACAATGCCACCCTTCACAGCCAAGGTC